GCAAAGTTTTACCCCGATATAATCATTGTTACCTGATTTGCATAGTGGAAAGTGAAAGAATCAGATGGAATTGAAAATGGTGTTACATGGGAAGTAAGCGTGGTTGTAGTCCGATTTCGCCCATTTTCGCACTATGACATAGAAACATGAAAAGAACGTTTATACCGAATTTGGTTGAAATCGGTTGAGCAGATCTCAAGATATGGGTTTTCACCTAAAAGTGGCTGTGCCACGCCCACTGACTAATTTTGAACGCGGTTCCTATAAAGCCAATTTATACCATCTCAGAGATAAAATTTAATGTCTCTGGCGTGTTTAGTGCTTGATTTATCGCGCTTTTAGTAGTTTTTAACAATACCGTTATATGGGGAGTGGGCGAAGTTGCCACCCGATTTCAACTATTTTCACACCGTCAATAGAAGTGCTAAAAACATTTGCTTCTAGTGAATTTTGTTATTATAGCATTAGCGATTTAGGAGATATGCACATTAAACCTATTAGAGGCGGAAACACGCCCACTTTTTAAAAAAAGTTTTAACTGCAGATGCCCCTCCCTAATGTGATCCTGTGCACCAAATAACAGTCTTGTATCTTATTGCGGAGCTCAGTTATGGCAAGTTATTTGTTTTTGATTAATGGCGTTCTGTGGGCGTGGCAGTGGTCCGATTACGCCCATCTGCAATACCAACCGTCTCACGGTACCAAGAAACATGTCTAGGTGAACAAAACTATTATACTCTGTAGCAACAGGTTGCGAGAGTATAAAAATGAAACTGGTTTTCCGTTGTCACGCCATAACTTGAGAACGGCTAAACCGCTTTGGCTGTTTTTTTTTTTTTTTGTGTAGTTTTCTAATACTCTGTAGAAGGTTCTTACCAAAAAAATATTAAGAAAATGTCTCAGAAAGATTGAAAAAATATATTTAATTTTGCATATTTTAAAAAACGCGCGTAACGAATGTCATCATCATTCACAGCCATAGACTATATTGAAAGAGCATCGTTTGTTCAGAAATGTGGTTACTTAATTAAATTCTAACGCACTAATTTTTGAAAATTACTCGCCACAATTAAATGTACCGTAAGTAAGTATTTAATAAAAATAAAATATGTATAATATGAGTTAGATTTCAGAATAGAAGTTAGATTTCATATACTAACTGCAACCAAATACGAAATGCCCTAAACTTCCAGCCAATTTTAACACGGAAAAAATTAATTAATTGCCCGTATTTTCCCAGTCGCACAAAATTATTATTTAAATCATAACTGGCTCGGTAACTGAGCTATATAGACAGAAAAATATGCTGAAATTAGTTTTGATAATAACATTTTACTAAATTAAACTGCTTACTCAATATAATTTAATTATACCTTAGCCACAGCAAGGCGTGGCCGGGGTCTTCTAGCTACGCAATAAAATACCAAATTTGATTGTAATCCATTTACGATTTCCAGAATAATGAGTGTTGAATTCTTTCGCAAAAGTTTTTAATATAATGTTTTGCCAAAAAAAAAAAAAGAAATCTTAAATAAGAGGAATCTTAATAGGAGGGTAAGATTAGAAAAAAAAAAATGGTGAGATACAAAAAACTAACTTCGTGGTTACAAAGAGATGTATTTTCTAACTAACAAGGTCAGAAGCACTACATGTGACGTCGTTCCTTCTGCACTTCGATATACAGTATGTCAATTAGCTCTTTGCAAAACGAAATACATCACTAAACTTCAGTTTTGGTATTAGTTTTCAGTAACTATTTTCAGAGTAGTTTTTTTTTCAAAATACTGTAAGTGTATGTATTTATTCAATGCAAAAAAATTCTACAGTCGTAACATTAATAACCTATTAATTAGTTATTAAATGAATTACTGTGTGCAGGTTATAAAGGGTGATCCATTTCGAGGTTCCCTTCTTTTTTAAAGAAAAAAGCACAGAAAATTCAAATTTAATAGAGAATGTTTGTTGTCATTCGAAAGAACATTCTTTTGTTCTTCCGTTGAGTCCAATTTTTGATGACTCGTTCGAGCATTTTGACTGGTAAATGGCGAGTGATAACGATAGAAAAAAGTCTTACGGTGTGATATCACATTATCTTGGTGGACAATTGACTGGTCCAAAACCTGTAATAATCTGCTCACTGAAGTGCTCTCTCAATAAACCATTGATTGATGCGATGTATGGGAAGTGGCGCCATCTTGTTGAAACCAAATGTTGCCGAGATCACGAGCTTCAATTTCAGGCATCAAATAGTCGGATATCGTTGCGCGATAACGGTTGCCATTGACGATTACGTTCTCACCGTCATCAGTTTTGAAGAAATATGTACCGATGATTTCACCGGCCCACAAACCACAACATTTTTTCGATATGAAATGGCAGCTCTTGAATCTCTTGATCTTTGTCCCAAAAGCGGCAATTTTGCTTATTCACATACCCATGAGCCAGAAATGGGCCTCATCGCTGAACAAAATTTAGCTCGAAAACGTCGGATGTCCACGTCCGCACTTTTCAAGAGCCCATCGAGCGAAGCGATGTTGCTTGGGAAGATCGAGGGGCTTCAGTTCTTGCACAAGCTGTATTTTGTACAGCAGCTATATTTTCTTCACTGTGTGCTGGACGTGGTCTATTCGGCCGAATATTATCTAATAACGAATGGTGGATCTCAAGATTGGTGGTGGTGTTGCGAATAGTACACTTAGTAGGCCGATTATGTTGATCATAAGTTGAGTGAAGCGCGGGAAACCTATTCTTTACAAAACATGAATTTTCATTACACGACTCACGCGTGATCTGTCCAAAAAAGCTATTAAAAAAGTACCTCTACTTGGATCACTCTTTGCTATCTATACTATGTACTTATCTAGAGAGATTAGGTAGGCTGTATCACTCCTTTTTGAATAGCTTTGATGAAATCGGTTTTGTATATTGCGCTCCGGTTAGGCACCCTTTTTTCTTTAATCACATGGGCTGAAATTCCATAACCCAAAATTTAGACACGCTTCTGTTTAATTTCGTTCTCATGCTTTAGAGATAATAGTCCGCAGTACAGGTAAACTGATGTATTAAACTTTCGAAAAAAATGGAATATTTTTTCGTCTCGTATAGTGGATTGGTATCTAAACTCGTTGATGCATAATAATAAATTTTTATCAATCAGCAAACTACGTAGGCCAGAAAGGCCGTTTTTAGTATGTGCTTGCTTACTTTAACAAAAAGGAAGAAGCGATATATTTTTATCTCTTGCTAAATACTGCACAGTATATGATATAATAGCAACATGATAACGATGACGAAATTAACTGATATCTTGATGTAACTTTTGGCATTTTGAGCAGGTTGGTGTTACATATGACTATAATTGTATTAATGAAACGCCCTAAAATAACATTAATAGTAAAAACGTTAATATATTCTAATTTACATCAATATAAATCGTTCACAAATTAAGATACACGGGGAATTGAAGTGAGACCGAAGATGTACGAAATGGAAAAGGGGGAATGTGCAATATAATAGGTATACATACCACATATCATAAAATTCTAAAACTACATTAACCAAGTACTTGTATTATATTTCACCTCTATGTTAGGGATGAAAGAGAATCAGGTTAAACAATTGCGTAACGGGTATGGTAACACCCACTTTCAAGTAAAATTTCATATTTCACAAACCGCTTGATGAATTTGGACAAAATTTTACTTACAAAATTCATTATATTACACAAGTAGCCCGTATTCACCCGGGTATTAAACAAAAATTTCAAATTAAAAATTTTAACACACACACTCTCTTCTTTTATTTGAGGTTACTAAAAAAGTAGAAAATTATGAAGAAAATTTGGATATTAAGTACTATTTGTTTACCTTTTTTGTTCTATAATTCATAATATTCGCAGCGCACTTCATATACGGAATTTTTTAGGTAATTTTTACACTTTGGGTTACATAAATAAAATATAATACAGCCTGTGTTCACCGGAGATAGTGTAGCTTCCCAACGATGAAAGAATTTTTCAAATGGATCAAGTACAATAATTTTGGAGCCTATTCAGTTCAAACAAACAAACATTCAAATCTTTCTTTATAATATTAGTATAGATTACAGTTTAGCTATAACGACATTTTAAATGACAACAGCTTATTGCATTTAAATAAATAGCTTATCCATAAGCAAAGTTACAGAGTTAAAACTCAACTCAAGTACTGGTCTGAACTGGTCAAAAGCATTAAATACATCTTTATTTACCGAATATAAGGCCTGTTTCATTCGGGTGATATTTAATGGACAGATTGTGATTTGGAGCTAAAGATGAATGCAATTTGCGCAGATTGCTCTTTTGACCTATATACCGAGTATAGTGATTTTCACCCATTAAAATAGAGCAAGATTTTTAAGCTTGATGTAATATGATTCGGTGCCCTACATCTAGCTAGAGATCGTAAGCATTATTTCCAAGTTTGTAAGGTTCCTAAAAGTACTCCCATTATTTGACAGAAAAAATAGCTGCAATAAAAATAATTTTATGGAAAGTCTTCGAAATCATCCTTCAATACTGAAAATCAAGTTCTGGTGCAGACAAGAAGGATATACAAGTACATTCGAAAGATTCAAGCCGAGTGAAATACTCTGGAATTACACATATGCATAAAAAAATGTATCTATATCTACAAAATATCAGTTACATTCTCTGAATATTGATAACACATATGTAACATTGGAATCTGAGTTGTATAATTTGCAAACTATTGTATTGCATTAGGAATGTTAGAATCAGTTGAACAATGCACATACATATATAGAAAAAAAAATAATGTTAATAATACTCGTATATTGATGAAATCATATGCTCATAAAAAAAAGAAGATTGAATTGTGCTAAGTGGTTTCCCTGTTGTTAAAAAAGCTTTTAAGCGTTGATAGAATTTAGAATTAAGTCCCTCTTAATGTTGACGAGCAATAACATTGTATGCTTACACATGTTACATTAGAAAGGGGATCACAGTTGAAGGAAAGACTTAGCAACGAGGGGGAAATTATATCCAATCATAAAGAGGTCATAAATTTAAGTAAGAGCTCAAAATGAAAGCGATGCATAGGAAATGCGAATAAAGCTGATAAATAACTTTGTGTATATCGTTGAACTGATGTTGTTTGAAATTAAGGGACCAGTTGCCGATTCACATCAGAGTGTATAAACTGATGCATTATAAAAGCGCCACACAAACAGTTTTGGGTTTTTCTGTGAGCAACAGTTTCAGTAATAGCATAAAAGAATATACTCAGGACGTATTATATTTCAGTCGTACTGAAAACGATGAAATAAAAAATTTAAAGGCCAATATTGTAATAAATAGATAAATATATTTTCAAAATCGGTATAAAATGAGACAACATATAAAATAGTTGTTACAAATTGTTAGAACTTACAAAATTATAGTGGATACAGTTTTCAAATAATTTTACGCATATATGTGAAGCACGTAATAAATGGCTCAATTTTTTAAGTAATCTAATTACTACCACAAATTGTAAGTATAAATAAATTAAGACACATCTTTAAGTTGTTATGTGCAATATTTTTAGATGCCTGCGAAACCTTTAAAAATTTTATTAGGAGGGACAAGTAACTTGATATTCGCAAAATTCTTGTGAACTAAAGAAGTGTGAAATATGTCAAGATGTCTGGCAATTTTTTATAAACTATAATAAGAAATTAATGTATTTGAATTTGATCCATTTTTAGTACCGATTGAATTAACCCATACGACATAAACTATTTACAGTGGCGAGCAATACTGGTCAGATGGTTGTCAAAATTCAACGTCAATATATATTCAATTTGCTTGAAATTTTTAATTCTGAATGTTAATTTTTTTCTTTAAACGTAAAGTAAACAAAAAAAACTTGTAAAGGCAACATAAACCAATAATTTCGTAGGAAAACTTAATGAAACTAATGCGTCCACTTATGCACGCCAACCATAGTACATTTTAATATTTGATTTACTATTATTTCTTCGAAGTAGACAAAAAGTTTTTAGTTTAGTTTGGCATTTTTAAGTATCACTTAAGAGTGCAGTTCGTACATTGTCAATTTCACTGAGGTATTTTTTAAAAGAATTAAATTTTGAAAAAAATGAAGAAAATTTCAAAATAATTCGAAAACCGTATCGTTTTCCTATCTCAAACTAAAAAAAGGTGGTCACTAAGGATAATGAAAGACAATGATGCTCGTCATATTGGACGGTTGATTTATAAAAACTCATAGCACATGGCATATATTAATGTTCACAGCAACTCTACAATCTCCGAACAAAGCATTCAAATCGAACCACTACAGCACATACAAACTGACCGATCAAAAAGAAGTCCTTATATACAAAACATTTTCATTTAAAAAAATTACAGATTAATAATTTTGTTTATGTTTTGTTTTCAACCTCTGCATCAGAGTGTTTTGTTAGTAACTTGGGAAATAGGGAATAACTCGCTAAAAATTAAACTGTTTTGTTTTGAAATTTTTTGTATTTATTCTTTTATCTATATGTATGTATATACTAGCAAACCTGGCGAACTCCGTTTCGCCACCAGATGATTTATGTAATATTTCGTTTGGTGATTAAAAATGAAGAACATTTTTTTTTTGTTTTATATTTGGAAAGGAAAAATTTTATTTCATTTAACAACAGTAATGAATTCATTTCGATTACAAAAATGAAGTGTTATTTAGTTGAACTTCTCTAAGTAAATGAAAGTGGATCCAAAGTAAATACTGAATCGAAGCGTTATACGTGTCCGCAAATTATCCGTTTCATTGAAGTGCTCTTTGGAAAACCACATTTTTTGTTTTTTGGTCTGACGTTAACACAAACAAAGCGGATGGTTTCCTAACTCGTGAACACGCAACGTATAACTGCCCATGTGAAAAACAAAGATTTTCTAAATTTATCCCGCAAACATTAAGCGATTGGCCATGCGACTTGTTAATTGTCATTGCGAACGCAAGGCGAACTGGAAATTGCAATCGTTTGAAGTCAAACGGAAGATCAGTTGGAATCATTGGTATCCGAGGAATATATACATTTTCACCTGCGTACTTTCCGTTAATAATGGTTGCCTCAATCAAATTCGGCATAAGTCTTTTTACCGAAAATCTAGTACCGTTGCAAAGTCGCGGTGGATTCAAATTACACAATATCATAATAACTGTACCAACTTTGAGTTGCAAGTTATGTGGTGGAAATCCTGGTAACTCCAGAGAGTTCAAAAACTCCGTTGGATAATTTACTACATCATCGGGATTTGTTATGGAATCAACGGAATTGTATGTCACCAAATCGCCAGCAATTTTTGATTGAATGGTGAAACTCAGTGCCTGTACATCATTATTCTTTGCGGCAAGAATTGCACGTTGACTTAACCAAGCATAATTCTGATAATTCGCACTAATGGTTGGGAAAACATTTTCAAAAATAGCTAATTGAGAGTCTACAAATCGGCAAAAGTCGTTGGTAAGAGTAATTAATCCAGATGTCGCATCAACTGGGACTTTTCCATTTCCAACAGCTAACAATTGTTTGGAAAATTGTGCAGCAATTTGATCATTTTGAAGTTGAACTTTCATATTAGTGATCCATAAAGGTGATGCCTTCAGGCAAGCATTCAATTTATCTGCAGCCGTTCCACGGGGAATTACTGGCAACGTCTGCCTGAAATTGCCTGCCAACAATAATTGCAGCAACATCATTAACAGTGGGTGTATTGAATCTTCGCACATGTTTACCTGTTGGGGTACAATCCGCTCTTATGACAAATTTGTGCGTATCCGATGGCATTCGTTCCAATGCTGTTTTGAACATATTAACCACAGCATTATTAGCGTGATAAAATGCTTGCAACTGTTCAATAATTCGTCTCTTTAACTGTTGTGTTCTCTGTATATTGCACCGCTCATTCAGCTGATCCACCATCGACGAAATGAAATATATTTGCAGAAATTCATGCGGTTCATCTGGTGTTGGCACCATTGAACCAAGCAAATGATATATTTGTCCTTGTATCTGTAATTGCAAACAATCATTTGTTGAAGAATACGGTGTAACTTATGATCGTGTGATGGTGTTTTTTTTGTCATGCGAAAGCAGTTATTGTATTCAAGGATGTGTTGAAGAAAATGGCTGGAATCGGGATCACTTCCATCGAACAATGGTTTCAGTGGCTGTGGTGGTGTAAGTAATGGATCCAGTTTGACTTTTCCACTTGCGCAGCACAATCCAGCCGTTTCTCTTTTGAACTTTAACGCATTGCAATATCGGCATATAGTCGTCATTGGTCCAATATCTAAGTTTGCATCATCACTTTAGTTCGCAGTGGGATCAGATTGGAATGCCAAGCGATTGTATGATGCCAATGATCTTCGTGTGCTCACGCGTTGTCTCAATCGGGCATTTTCACTTATTATATAATATTTTGTCTTTCTTTGCTTAAGTTCTGTGAATACACTTGTTGCTGGCTTGCATGCTTGTGCGGCGGCCGATGTTGGCACGTCGTCCTCTAGGCATTTTGGACTATGGACAGAGTGGTGAATTTAACCTCAAATGCACGCTCCACATAATTTATACAGTTCAACTTACCACCTTAAAGACAAATGCCTGTTGTTGAAATTGAATAAAAATTTGCACAATACACGTGATTGATTTGATGGGTTCCAATTGAAATGTTAGGGAACGAATAACTTATTTTTCACAATTTCACAGTGAACACAATACCGATTTGTCACATGAAATTAACTGAGCAGAGAACAATGAGTAGCTGTTAAACAATGTATCACGCACCGGCGCCATCTACTTAAAATATTGGTTTGTAGTACATGCTATGTATCAGAGATGGCGCTGTATGTGAAAAAAGATTTTCCCGCTTTTCTGTTGAAATATTTTCTGAATTTTCTTTGCTATAAACCTCACGGAGCCCGAGACCTTTCCAACGAATACAAAACCGTGGAAATCGGTTCGTGCGTTCTGGAGTTATAGCGTCAGGAAGGAAAACCCGACTTATTTATATATAATAGATAAATGAACTGCTGATTGTTATGTTAGTCTCGTTAAAACTCGAGAACGGCTGAAACGATTTGCCTAATTTTAGTCTTGAAATATTCGCGAAAGTGCAGAGAAGGTTTAAGCGGTTATAAAATGCGGAAAAATTGCGAGGAAATTAGTAAAAACGACAATTTTGTTTTTCCATACAAACTGATTTTCGTCCCTTCGATTCGGAAATCGACAACGTGTATTGGTGTAATAGTCGGATTATCACGCATTTAGATTTAAAACATATAAAATAATGATACTTGGTTGTTGCGTTGAATGCATTCAGAAATACCATACACTTTGAAAGAGTAAAGTTCGCTATACATGACTAAACCCGTATATGAACTGTCAAAGTCATTGTCAAAGGTTAGACATACATATGTACACTGAATACACGTGTGCAAAGTGCCTTGTAGGTTACCTCAAAATCGAAAAAAACAAATTTTTCATACATACAATTTCTGTCACCATTGTAGTTACCATTATTATCTGATACTTTTTACAATACTGGTATTTCAGTAGACCTCTTGGACTAACCGCACTGATGACCAGCGAGAGACTGATAATCCGGTTTGCCACCTGAGAAAATTCTTTGGTACCAAATATGTTGCAAAACTCCCAAATACTTTTATTATAAGAATAAGGGATACTTATATGTATATCCCCCGCTTAGTTGACCTCGGGTTAATTGATTATCCCGTTATCTAGAACTACTTAACGGTCAGAACAAGTTTTTGTGTGAATTAGGGAATATGAAATCGCGTGTTCATTCATGTAGATTGAACAATATAATCTATATCCTAATATAAAAATTCAGCGTGTGTATGTTCCGAATGAACTCAAAAACGAATCAACTGATATTCATGAAAGTTGGCATATGTATGTCATTTGGTCCAACTTAAATGATAGGACAGTTATTATTTAAACTAAAGGTTTCAATAATTATTAATTAATAATAAACTGATCATCAACGTAGATTGCTGTTATTAATCGTAGGTTCCATAAGTCTGGAACAGATGGCGCCTTAAGCGAAGAAATCCCTCACATGCACGCCCTAACATTTTCACTTTAATGTGATATATTTTCTTAGACTAAACAATACACATGTCTTATTTTGCCTATACCACTTAACGTCGCTTTTTTCAAATAATTCTTCATATTGTCTTCGTTGCGTATATTACTTCGAATATATTTTTTTTTACTTCTAATTTACAGTTATATAAATACAGCCGAGTATATATTCTACAAAATCAGATAACTGCAAAATTTATTCACATTAATGACTATTTTTAGTAAAATGCCACCCATAAAATCTAATCTTAATGACCGTAGGAAGAAAACTCGATGTGTACGTGTTGAAAAAGCTCATGAATCAGTCGAACAGAGAGCAGAAAGAAATGCAGCTCAAAGAATTTGATCAGCTGAAATTCGTACACGAAAATCACGAGAACAGCGCGATAATCGTTGCCAAGAAAATGCATTGAGAACCAAAACCGAGAAAATCGTCGGACCAACCGCGCAGTAACACGTGGATCATTTGTTCGTCTTACATTTAATTACGAACCAAACATCAATTACTCGGCTGATTCCAAAGTTACAATTGGTGCGATGGACAAAATATGCAATTACTGTCAGGCGTTAAAATTTCGCAGTGAAAGACCCGACATGTGCATGCGCATCAGGAAAGTGGTATTGTCACCTAAACCTTTAAAATCCTTTCTTTCTGGCATTTCAAATGAATCAAAATTATTTTTGTGTGAGACACGACACGAAAATTTAATTCTTGCTTCCAAATGACGTCATTTGGAGCATCTAAAGTTTGTGATTTGTCATCTGATCGCCGTGATTTTGAGACAACATTCAAAATTCAAGGCCAGGTATACTATAAAATTATTTTTAAATTCTTTGGACACATCAGGAATGCCACCACACAATCTTCGATTGAAAATTGGATCACCGATTATTCTACTGCGTAATTTAAACCCTCCAAAACTATGCAACGGGACACGTTGGTGATCTAAAAAATCCCTGGAAACGTTCTTGAAGCAACTATTTTGACAGGAAAATTTAAAGGAGAAACCGTTTTGTTACTACTTCTTCCGATGATACCATCCGATTCTCCCTTACCATTTAAAATACTACAGCTTTCCATTCGTTTAGCTTTCGCGATTACTATAAATAAATCTCAAGGCCAAACAATATTTATTTGCGGCTTAGACTTGGAAAATCCATATTTCTCTCATGGGCCTGTTCAAAGGTAGGAAGACCATCAAGTTTATTTGTATTAACAAGGGCCGTTTGACCAAAAATATTGTACATCGATTGGCGCTTCATTAAACAGCAACTGTGATTTATTACAATTAAAAATATTTAGAGTATATATAAGTTAACAGTGGTTAACTAAATCAGTTTCTTGAACTGCCCAAATTGCAACCTATGCAGTCTGGATTTCTGTATGACCGTGTGATCATCAGGTATAACTCAATACCTCGTACAGGTATTGGACTCCACAGAAATATAAGCTGCGTTAACGGCAGCAGCGGTAGTTCTAATAGTATAAATAAAGGCATTATGTTCTTAATAAAACAGGTTTAGAACGGAACTCAAATGGTGTTTATTTAAAATAACATAATTCAATGTGTAGTCGACAATACCGTCGCTACCGCATAAACGGAATAATAACCAAGAATAACTTATATATCAAATAAAAATATTTAAAGTATTTATTAAATAAATGTTATAAAAATTTTATGTTAATTTTTGTTAAATTTTGCCTTTCAAATCCTTCCTAAATCACTCAGCCACAGCAATGCGTGGCCGGGTCTGCTAGTATATATGTATATAAAATTACAGACTTCTTCAATTAACATTTTAAAAATGTAAACAAGGATATCTTAATTTTTGAAAGCAAGTGCTGCATATACATATACAATAATATGAACTAGTTTGTTCCTTTTATTTTTAAATTTTTTTATTTTTTATAAAAATGATGTCTAAATGTACGAGTATAAGTTCATTGTCTTGTTTTTGTTCATCATATTTTTTACGTTAAAAGTTAAAAATATTGTTTAAATATCATAACTAAAAACTAAATAAATACTTAAAGTGCATATATGGTTTTTTTTATTGATTAAATTGTCTTATTTTGCGGAATACCTGTAATTGAACGAATTGTTCAATTAAACGCGTATCGATTAATTGATTCCTGGTTAATTGAACCAAAAAGTATGCAATGTTTTAAGTGTAATTATCCGTTACATATAAATAAACCGTAGATGTCAATTAAATTGAGCTACATTTAATGCACGCCCTTTCTTTTCTTCAAGCAAATTGAATATTTTTAACCACTCCTCACCAAATTTTCTCTTTGAAGGATCAGGCAAGCTTTCATTACTATCAAAAATTCTCAATTTATTGATTGACATGTTGCAAACTTTTAATATTATATGTATTCATTTATCTGACGGTAACATAATTTTGTTCGCTTACTGCGGTGATTTTAGAGACTTTATTGTTATACCTAACAAAAAGTATAATATTGTAACGGATTTCTCGATAAACCATCTACCTTGTAACTCACTCTTCAGTTCGATCACTAAATTGTTAAAAAAATGTTCCAATTTAATATCTATACATTTATCTTTGTTTTTAATTCAAATAACTTAACGCTTATTACTCGTTGTTCGAGTTTACAACTTATTGCTTACAGTTCTTTACTAAGCAGCACTCTATCTAGAACTGTGTCTGCTCCACAATCTGGCAGCCCTTATAAAAGATTGTTACCATAACCAGAGAATGTTAATAAATGCATTAACATTCTCTGCAAAAACATCGCCACTCGAACATTATGGCAAATTATCGTTGATTCTATTTTACTCTGGCATTCGTGTTCACTACAATATAAACAATTATTTAAAGTAAACCAATGTATTTACTTGGCAATGAAGCCCTTTTTTCATTTGATGTATGAAGTTGAAGAATTGCGCATAAATGTCCAATTTTTCCACTTTCCATCTTTATTTCAAAGTTTAAATTATCGTTAGATCTCTTGTTTTCCCTAGATTGAGCACATGGTGGCCATTAATGACTATTTTTAAGTTAGTTTGAATATCAATCTTGCTATGCCATTTTAAGCGAAAAATCTTAAAATTTACTTTCATTGTAAAAACATCTGATAAAAAATCGAACCAAAACCGTAACGCTGCTGATAATGATAACAGTCGTATGGTATGCCAGATTTGCGTTCTAGAGTGAATTATAGCTTAAGCACAATACGGGCGACGACGAATATTCGTCGTACTCGGTGACGCCGTCGGCTGGACGTGTGTTTAAGCTATTACAATGAAGTGAATAAGCATAGAATATAACGAGTTCGGGCCCATCATCATCGGTCACAACATCAGCGAATACGGGAAAATGAAATTGATCTATTCCGCTGACGCAATGCTCCACATCTACAATACAACACCAAATACATATACATTTTTTATCTCATTTCTGGTGTCTTTTAAATCATTCGCTCCTGTTGTTGCTGAAAAATGACGGGTATATTTTTATACTCTCGCAACCTGTTGCTACAGAGTATAATAGTTTTGTTCACCTAACGGTTGTTTGTATCACCTAAAACTAATCGAGTTAGATATAGGGTTATATATATATAAATGATCAGAGACGAGTTGAAATCCGGGTGACTGTCTGTCCGTCCGTCCGTCTGTCCGTCTGTCCGTTTGTCCGTGCAAGCTCTAACTTGAGTAAAAACTGAGATATCTTTATGAAACTTGGTAGACATGTTTCATGGTACCGTGAGACGGTTGGTATTGCAGATGGGCGTAATCGGATCACTGCCACGCCCACAAAACGCCATTAATCAAAAACAAATAACTTGCCATAACTAAGCTCCGCAATAAGATACAAGACTGTTATTTGGCACACAGGATCGCATTAGGGAGGAGCATCTGCGCTTATTTTTTTTTTAAGTGGGCGTGGTCCCGCCTCTAATAGGTTTAATGTGCATATCTCCTAAACCGCTAATGCTATAATAACAAAATTCACTAGAAGCAAATGTTTTTAGCACTTCTATTGACGGTGTGAAAATAGTTGAAATCGGGTGGCAACTCCGTCCACTCCCCATATAACGGTACTGTTAAAAACTACTAAAAGCGCGATAAATCAAGCACTAAACACGCCAGAGACATTAAATCTTATCTCTGAGATGGTATAAATTGGCTTTATAGAAACCGCGTTCAAAATTAGTCAGTGGGCGTGGCACAGCCCACTTTTAGGTGAAAACCCATATCTTGAGATCTGCTCAACCGATTTCAACCAAATTCGGTGCATAACGTTCTTTTCATGTTTCTATGTCATAGTGCGAAAATGAGCGAAATCGGACTACAACCACGCTTACTTCCCATGTAACACCATTTTCAATTCCATGTGATTCTTTCACTTTCCACTATGCAAATCAGGTAACAATGATTATATCGGGGTAAAACTTTGCGTGAATAATGCAATTAGAGTATGCCACCCTGCGGCCAAAAATTGTCTAAATCGAACCAAAACTGTTCAAACCCCTAAGTACTAAATATGTTGACCCCAGTGCCTATAGTTGACCTTCTACCGAAAATATCAGTCAATCCACAAAGAAATCTCAAACGAGTATACCATTTGACTTTGCGAGAGTATAAAATGTTCGGTTACATCCGAACTTAGCCCTTCCTTACTTGTTCTATTTTAATTTCTAAATTCTATAGAAATGTATACCCGGGATGCCACCACATAATTTCCGGTTGAAGATACTCGATTATTCTACGGTACACTTTTAGTAATAATAAAAGATTACCGGAAATATTCTTAAAACTACTTTTTTGAATAATAACATCAAAGTCGAAAAGGTCCTGTGGTTAAGTATGCCAATGATACCATCTAATACTACGATTCTTTTCAGAACGCTACTGTTTCCTATTCGTTTAGGTATTGCCATGTCTATAAATACATAAGTTTCAAGCTCAAACAATGTCCATTTGCTTTTTGGATTTTGAAAATCTATGTACATATATCTATATGTTGTAATCTCTCGTGTAGGAAAACCACCGAAGCTATATTCGCTAGACAGAGATAGATTAACCAAGAATATTGTACGCCGAATAGTACTAATGTAAATCAAACTTAAAATGTCTATAATTCAAAATTATAAATTTGACTGTTAGTAATAAATAAAAATTGGTCTACCCTATTTATCTCATTCATAACATTAAATGTTATATATCATCAACTAACAACTTTGTAATACACTTATTTGTTACAAACTTGAATATAAGATTAATAAAATACAAAATTTAACATTTTACCGGCTTTAATGTTTTCGATTTTATGCGTATGAACATTTTCACCGCGCCCCGGTCTTCTAGTATATAATATTTTTCGTAATTATATTTGGATCTTAATCTAAATAAAAGAAATCTAATGTAATCCCTGAATTAAACGAAAACAGTTTATACCCGTTTCCCGTAGCTCCAATAAACCCAACATAGTGATTTTTGACTTTCCGTTTGACTTTATATCATACATATACATATATCGGCCAATATGTGTGTGTGTGTTGTGGCCTCCAAGATCGTTCGATTTAACACAACTGGACTATTTTTGATGGGGTATATGGATTCGCTTGCTAAGCCTGAGATGATTGACGCCTTGGAAGATACTCTTGGTTGGAATTTATTCGAGCCAGCCGCGGCGGTCTCTTGCTCAAAATAATTTTTGAGACATAATGGTTTATCTTTAAAAAAAAACCTAATTCTTGGCCATAACATAAAATTATATGCGTTTTTTTTTCTTGAAAACCACTTGAATAAAAAACCACCCTACATACAGTATGTTTAACATAGCAAATTTCTAAAAATAAATTAATACATAGTTGAAAAGCAATTTCTTTTTGACCTATAGCGCTTTTTTCGCGTTCGAAATGAACATAAATAAACTAACTCTTACTTCATAACTTTTTAAAAATATTTTTATAAAATATTGATGCAGTATGCCGAATACATGAGTAAAGTTATCGTTAGACATAGATGAATTGGTCCCTTAGGGCAGCCCCCATACCCTTAACATAACGATTTCCGCCGATCTTGGTGATTTCTCCTTCATTCTCACATCCGAAAAATCGTTTATTAAGTTGAGTTTATATCGCATATTAAGAAAATATCTGAAAAAATTAAAGGAAAATGTTTTGATTGGCATTATGTCATTCGGTAGTAGAAATTATGATTATTGATATGCAGCTTCTAGCAGCACTTATACCTACAATATGTTGAGCATAGCGATTTGTGCGAGTTAGGTTGTTTTGTGATTTATAGTGTTTGTTAATAGGATACCAAATAAGACTAAGATACATTATATGTTTCTTCGAATAACAAATATTTATCTAATTTGCAACAGTTTTAATACATTACTAGTTTAATTTAGTGTTAGGCCGACACCCGAAAATAATTCTCTCCGACCTTAGCCCTTCCTACCTTATTTTTAAATAGTTTTCATTCTTTACGTATTGTAGTTTCAAACATAACGACGGTTCATACTGGGTATATTTTTGTGACATAGATATATATTTTAAAGTGAAACTTTTATTACATCGTCTCAAATTTTTTGGGCTGTGTTTGCATGTCGTTTTTGTAATGCTCTATACATATGTACATACATATGTGTATATGTACATACAAATGTGCCTGAAGTCAGCAATCACTCGTAGCAAAAGAGGTTGTTTCGAAAAGCTTTGTGAAGAAGCAAACATAGACCCCTGGGGAACCGCGTACAAAATATGTATGTCAAATTTTAAAAATATGCCGCAGCAACCTAAGAACGCATCATTTATGAGGAAAGTCGTCGACGCATTATTTCCAACACATGAGACCATGTCCTATGCTATGCGTAACGATGTTACAGAGCCCCCTCTATTATTTACACAAGAAGAACTACTGGCCATTGCGAAAAAAATTATCGGATTATCAGAGAGACAATACGGCTTTATAAAAAAGAGGTCCACTATTGACGCACTAAGTGAAGTCGTTGATATTGCGAAATGTGCAATAAGTGGCAAAAGATGGAAAGGTGGCACCAAAGAATATTGCGCGCTAATTACCCTGGATGTGAAGAATGCATTAAGTTCTGCGAAATGGGCAAATATCATCAAGGCCCTATACGAAATACGCGCTCCCCAATACCTTATAAATATTATTATGAGTTATTTTGAGAACAGAAGGCTGCTTTTCGACACAGATGAGGGTACCAAGAGCTACTCTATCTCGAGTGGAGTACCACAAGGTTCGGTCTTAGGCCCCCTTCTTTGGAACCTGATGTACGACGGGGTGCTAAGACTACATCAACAACAATCCGTGAAACTAATCGCCTATGCGGATGACCTCATAGTGGTAGCAGTAGCGAAACATCTAGATGACCTCCGGGTCAAATGCAATGATTGCATAAATGGTATACGACGGTGGTTCGCAACCATGAGTCTAGAGTTGGCTGAGCAGCAAACAGAGGTCTTGCTCATTAGCTCCAGGAAAATTGAAGAAAAACTATCGCTCACCATAGGAGAATGTCAGATAACTTTACAGCCACAGCTAAAGTATCTTGGCGTTATATTGGACTCAAGGCTAAAATTTAAAAAGCACTTGGAAAACACGACGAGTAAAGCAAATAAAATCTATAATTCTTTATCTAGAATGATGGCAAATAGAGGCTGTGTGCGTTCCAGCCGACGATTTCTAATACCTAAGGCAATGAGATCCGTTATACTGTATGCGGCTCCAATATGGATCCAGGCGCTTGACACAAAGTCATATGCTAAACCAATAATCACAGTGCATAGGCTTTCTGCAATACGCGTGATAAGTGCTTTCCGAACCGTATCAAGCGACGCTGCGGAAGTATTAGCCAGTATGGTGCCCATTGACATCCAGGCAAATGAATTCGCGCGCTTATACCAGCTATCGGAACCTTCTACAGCAACAAAAAGAGAGGAAAGAACCAAGAGCATAACGCTGTGGCAGCAACGGTGGCAAACCTGATCCAAAGGACGATGGACTCACAGACTGATACCACACATCATACCGTGGATAGATAGACAGCATGGGGACCTGGATTTCCACCCGACCCAAATGCTAAGTGGACATGGGTGCTTTAGAAGCTACCTTTACAAATTTCGTCATGACTACAGTCCGTACTGTCCGACGTGTACAGAGTGTATTGAAGACTCTGAACATGTTTTTTACCATTGCCCTCGGTTCTCAAGTATAAGAGAAAATCTGAAAACCACACTTGGCAGTAGTTTCTCGGTGGAGAATTTGACAGCACTTATGTGTGAGCCCTCTATTAAATGGAAAGCAGTCAGCGAAGCGTCTGCGTTGATAATGACAAGATTGAGACACTTACAACAGATTAGGAGTCAGTTAGTCCGTACCGTAGAGGAGACTTAAATGTCTTCTTCGCTCCCATGAAGTAATACTTTGTCCAGTGGTTCCGTGGGAGAGATTTGGGTTGGGAGTAGGTTAGGTTTAGCGTATTAAAGTTCCGCACTTCGGCTTTCGATGCTTCCCCCTACTATAAAAAAAAAAAAAACCTACGTACACATGTAAATACGTCACCGGCAAAAATTTCAAAAATTGTTCTACAAAAACAACAATCGTCTCAAGTAGCATAAGCAGCACACACACATGTCAATATGACAGCCAAATTGCTATAGCGACTCACGCGACGACAAAGCGTCACAACATTGTGTGTTGTTGGTAGAAAATCCGAGCTGTGTCGAAAACAACAAACGAACGACCGCGTCCCATGCCGCTCTAACAGCTTTGCCCATAAACCATCGCAAATATGTACGTTTATGTATGAACATGCATATATGTATATCGACGCAGATTTTTGCGAGCCATATAAAAATATTTTAAAATTGTAAAATATTTTATTGTAAAATATTTTAAATCGACAAGAGCTATGTTGCCATTTTTGTCACTTTTTTCTGTGTTTGCCGGGTTGACACTTTTCCTTTCAGGAAGGAACATCAGAAAGTTGTTCAATTTATGATTTTTAGCTTTTCCCATCGTCGCGAAAAAACGCTTGTGGGCAAACACATGCTCGGGAAGATGTGTATTGCGTTTACTTTTATGAATGAGTTAACTTCGCTTGTTAAGAGTAAGCCTGCGTTCATGAAAATGTTGTTGTGTTGTTATCAAAGCTTTTAATGATCACAGCAAATAAATATATTATATGAATATGTGCTATATACGTATGTCCTGTGATACCAAATATATATATGTAACTCCCTTCGCTCCCTTCCACTGCTCGTCAGAGCAGTCGAGGCCAACATGGCGGCGCCTATAGTTCGTATCAGCTGACCGTGTAATGTGTAGACTATAGATAACTCAATCTGTGTGGATGAGCGCTATAGCTTATTGCGCATGCGTGATCAATATAGTCAATTTTAAACTATAACCATGGTAACTTTCGATCATATTATTCTCGCTTCATTTATTCAAACACGTGCTTCAAGTAAACACCTCTCTTGTATCTGTCATCAACATTTTCGAATATATTATTATTTTATTGAACTTCACTTCATACTACAGACTGTTCTACTCATTTATGCCAGTGCTCCACGTTATTTTGTTTGGTGTTATCAGTGTTTAATGTAAATAGTGTTATTTATTTGCTGTTGGTAAACAACGACACACCTAGTGAGTCCGAAAAACTGGTCATTGAGGAAAATAAGTGAAGAAACTTGCAAAAATGAATGATGATGATTTAATTTTACGCCGTAAAAACAGAACGTTAACAGAGTACGCGCTTATAGAAAAAGGAAAAAAGATCTTGGTGCCGTGCCGAGTACTAGTACAATTCAAAGTGGTGAGCCTGTATCTGAAAATGTTCTTACTGAAAAACCTTTACATCAAAAGCAACTAAACATGGAACGATGCCGTAGGTATCGTCAAAAATGCAAACGGCTAAAATCTGGTGCCAATTTTGACCGAGGCACTAGTGACAATGATACAAGTACAAGCCGAGATACAAGTGTAATTCAAGAATCAATTGTTATTCCAGATGAATTTCAAAATTCGTCAAACCAACCTCGTCAAATTTTCAACGATGAACCTTCGCACGCTCCTGAAAATAGTACTGACAATGCAAACACTAGTGTTTTTGCAAACGTACGTTATCGTCGGTACCTAGAAAGACTCAACGCACAAAGAGCTCACGCAGAAGAAAATCCTTCATCGGTCTATACATCATATGTGAGACATAATGGAGCTCATAATCTTTTTAAAACCTTATTTGAGAATAACCCATTTGGTTTTGCAAGCACTGTTTGTGATAGACTATGGTTCAAAAATGATTTGAAATCTCCACTATTTGAGAATAACCCATTTGGTTTTGCAAGCACTGTTTGTGATAGACTATGGTTCAAAAATGATTTGAAATCTCCACCATTGTCGTGCTGGAAATTTTACAACAAATATGCCCAGCTGTCTTGTTGGAAGACATTTTTGTGTGTGCGACCTGTAGAACTTCGTTAACTGCTGAAAAAATACCAAACTTGGCTGTGTATAATGGATTTAAGTATCCGCCTAAACCCAATCTTCCTGAATTGGATTCAGTGTAATAGCGATTAATATCACCGAGATTACCCTTTATGCAAATTCGACGGCTAAGATACGTACTAGGGCAATATGGAATCACTGGACAAGTAAATGTGCCCGTTAACGTTGATAACATGATTAAAACTCTGCCTCGAAATATAGATGATGATTACTGTGTAAATGTACACATAAAAAACGATTAATGCACAAATCTAGTTATTTGCACGGATTGGTGAAAAAAGGGATTGTTAAAGACTGGTTCAGTTATCTTGTAGCTACTCCACTTTATAAGCATTATGACATTAAAATTAGTCAACATTTCTTGGGCGAGTTAACCGATGAGAGTGAAAAGCCTATGGCTAGATCTACTGATGATGAAAGACAGGCTTATGAGGAGGATAACAAAAAATATAACACAATAGACAATACCTACGATGATATTGATGATTTTTATAATAAAAATATTATTACTTCGGATGAGGACTATTATCGAATTCTATCTGCTGGGAGTTCACGACCGATGGTTTTTGTTAAGCGACGCCCTGATGAAAAATGGCATAACTTCTTTAAT